ACCTGAGCCAGTGAAAGGACACTTTATCCCTGAACCCAGAGCCAGAGAAAAACAACTCGACTCTGAAACCAGAGCCAAAAGAACACACTTTGCCCTTAGTCAGAACCTGTTAAAGAAATTTGCCCTGGCCCTAAAATTTGAGCCTAAAAGCTAAAAAGAACCAGAGAAAGATACACACTTTAGCCCTGAAATCAGACTCATCTCTGCCTTAAAACAAAAGCAACCAATCCCTGAACAGGAAAAAGCGATCAATCCCTGAGTAGGGAAGTAGTAACCTCTAGTCTAGAGACGTGACTTTCTGGATCTCAACCTAGGGAAGTAGTAACCTCTAGTCTAGAGTCATGACCGTTCTGGCCCAGGGACATAGTCTAAAGGGATGACTCCCCATACATCTTAAGCCTAGGGAAGTAGTAGCCTTTCAGATATGTACCATGACCTTTTCTGGACCTTAGCCCACAGGGGGCAGCCAATCACAAGCCTATAGGCTTGGAATTCCTCAAGTCTTCCACACTGTCTCGAGCCCTTACCAGGTTTTGACCTGGGAAGAATGACAGACTCAGCAAGTTGCTCTTGAATATAAAAGTTTTACTTCACACTTCAAAGTTATACACACAACTATGAGCAAACAATCCTAAGAACCACAGACAATAGGCTCATAACAGGGGATACCTCTCCTGCAGCAGCCTGCAGGTTCTGGCTTGGACTTCTGTTCCTCTGAATTCAGGCTGTCCAGTTTCCAGAGGGCCCAGTGTCATGGTATGGGGTTTCAGCTAGATGGCTGTTTGTTTCAGGTTAGTGGAGGAGAGCTCCAGGACGTAGAGTCGTGGTACACTCTAAAATTCCCAGTTCTGAGCTGGTCCCTTAAATAGCTTGCTAAATCTTGCCAATCACATTTTGCCACACTCCACACATTCTCACTCTTATCTCCAATGGCCAGGTAGTGGGCCTGTACTCCCTTTCTTTTAATCTCTTTCTTCAGCCAGGCCTTTGCCTACCTGGTTACAGGCTCCTTATACACACTTCAGAAACCCCCTCCCCGCACTGCTCAGGAACCCAAGTTAACTTGGAATAAAGACTCTTTGCTTTCTGTGAGTTCGAGACCAGCCTGGTCTACAAGAGCTGGTTCCAGGACAGCCTCTAAAGCCACAGGGAAACCCTGTCTTGAAAAACCAAAAAAAAAAGACTTTTTGCTTTTGCATCAGATTTGGTCTGGTTTTGGGATCCAGACTTTGGGTGTAACAGTAAAGCAAGTGATTTCCCCCAGGTTGTATGGCTAATTAGCAGCATAGCCAAGACCCAAGTTTCAAAGGCACAGGAACTACTATTGCATGTGACAAGAACCCTTTCATTCTTTCAGTTGAATCTGAATCAGGCAGAAACAGCAGCAGATGGCTCAGTAGGAGTGGCTTTTAAGGAGAAAAATAGGGAAGTCCATGATAGGATGAGTTGATAAGTCCTGATTGGTCATGTCTAACCAAGTTTTTATAGCTGGACCTTGGTGGTCAGCCCCAGGAATGAGTCAGGCATGAGGAAGTGCCCAAATGAGTATAGTGTGGAGTCTAGTGGTTTAGCAAGAGGGGGAGGGCCCAGGACTGGTGTGCCTTGTGTGGACTTGTTAGAGCTCTTCAGCATTATGTACCTATCATCTATCAATCAATCTGCCATGTTTGCCATGTATGGACTTGTTAGAGCCCTTCAGCATTGTCTACCTATCATCTATCTATCTATCTATCTATCTATCTGAAGGAACCAGCTTCCCTTTTGGCAGCCATAACGGCCAAACACGT